TGAGAAGCAGCCTCTGGTTTTATTGTGACTTGGGCTGGCTGCTGGTGGGGAGTGACCCAGTTGGGTTGAATCGCCTGCTTTGTATTTCTGCCCTTGCCTGTGTTTGCATTGTGTCCTGGCCCCCCGCTGGCTTCCTGGAGTCTGGGCAGCCCCATGTCCTCTTTGTTTTTTTCAACTGGGAGAAAAATAATGTGAGGATTGGCCCCTCGATGTTAGTTATTTGATATTTTTCATCAGGGTGACTGCTAGAGCACTCACTTCTGTGACTCCTTTTCTTCTTTTCGTTTTATTTTTAAGTGTGGTCAACTCACAGAATCCAAACTGAGAGCCATTTTGGAGGGGGCAGCCCAGTGGTGGTAACTGTGTTTACCCTGTTGTGTAACAGAGTTCTGGGACTGCGCTCTGGCAAAGGACTGTCCACGTTCAGCAGCTCCCCACTTCCCCTCCCCCCCCCCTAACTTGTTTCCGCGACTTTGGCTGTTCATGTACCAGAATCACGGGACGGACCGCTGCCTCCATCCCGCTGCGGGCGTATCCTTCAGTCGTCCGAGCCTCCATTCTTTAAGGTCCGGCCTCATTACCTTGTGTTGCCCCTCGGGTCCATAGGTGCAGAGTGGAGGAGGCTCTAGGAGTCATACTGTCCAACCCCCTCATGCCAGGTGATGGAGCCCTACAGCAGTTTGACTGTTTTGCTCAAGGACAGACGCTGAGTGCGTGGCGGCAGAGCTGGGCCGGGTCTGCAGTTCCAGGCTGGGTGCCCTTTCTGTCCTGGCCTGTCTGTGTGTTGTGAGCAGGTGCTGTCTTCTTTAGTTAGTCCCGAAGCACAGAAACTGACTTCGACATCCCTGTGGCGTTCTGCTAAGGAGTAGAGTTGATTGTCTTCAACTTTCTCGGCTCTCCCTGTAAACTATGATGGAAATCTGATGACAAAACCATCAGAAGTGAAAAGCAGTGCATTAAACTTTTAAGGTTGGCTGATTTATTTGGATGCAAAGATTTCTGTTTGTGAGTTTTTTGAGAGAATCATATTTGTGCTAGTTTAGTGCTCTTCACAGAATGCCCACGGACCAGTTGGTTTTGGGTATTGAACTGGACCAGATTTTGAGAGGACTCAACATTTTCAGTGCCCCCCCCCAAAAAAAAAAAGGTTACAAAGCGTTTCCTTGCGTGATGACCATTTGCAAACTTTGATTTGAGTGTCCCCATTTACCCCAGACTTTGCTTCCCTGTGATGGTCTAGGATCAGACGTATGGAATCCTGTTTGTAGAATGTTCTTTATTTTAAGCTTGAAAACATTTGTTTTATTTGGGGAGGCGCTGTGGGAAATAAAGTTCACTTTCAACCTGCCACTCATGAGACATGTGCAAATCCAGCCCCCTGAGCGCCTGCCGTCCGTGCTGCTCCTAGTGATGTGGGGGACCCCAGAGTTAGCTGCCCTTTCTTGGAGGGGTGGTGCAGTGACACAAGGCATGCTTTTGTGTCATGGGACAGAAGATAGGAGGCCCGGCAACGTGACTGTTCAGGTAGCATCTGGTTTGGAGCCAGAGCAAGACTTGATGCCCCTGACTTGCAGTTTGGGGATCCATTGTGCTGCCATGTTGAGGCCGGACTGGGTCAGAGCTCAGACAATAGTCCCAAACCACCCACCCACCCACCCATCTACCTTATTTTCCCCGGTATTTTTAGCTGGTAAAATATAAGATCAGAAGACATACCCTCTTTACTATTTTTGAGTGTCCACTTCAGTGGGATCAAACACATTCACGATTGTACAACTGTCATCACCACCATCGCCAGAAACATCATTTCGTCACGTAATACTGAAATTCTACACTCAGTAAACAGATTTCCATTCTCCCTCTCCCAGGCCTCTGGAGCTGCCGTTCTGCCTTCTTCCTTTATGAGTTTGACTAAGTGCCTCATACGAGTGGGATTGGACACTGTTTGTCCTCTTCTGACTGACTTACTCAATTTAGTATGTTGTTCTGGGGCTCATCTGTGTTGTGGCAGGTGTCAGAATCTTCCCTTTTTAGGGCTGAGTAATATTCCTTCGTGTGTATAAAGCACAACTTGCTTACCTGGTCATCTGCCACAGAGCACAGGGGCTGCTTCCAAGCGTTTACCACTGTGAGGAAAGCCCCTTGAATGTACTTGTACCATCCAATCACTTTTTCCCCTTTCTTGCTGCCTCTGGGGTACATTAATGCTGGCAAACAGAATGTTCATACTGGCAGAAAGGACACTCATGTGGCACAAAGCACAGTAAAAATGTTTTTGGTGAACTCCCCTGGGGGAGGTGGCCAGGGGGCTAGGGAGGGGCATCTTCCCCTTAGGAAATGCCTTTTACTTAGAAAGTAAAGAAGCAGCAGCGGATCATCAGTTAATGAAACCCTCCTTCTGGGGCAAGTAGGCCACATGTCTTTTGCCACTTACCACCATCGTCCAGTGAGAAAGATGAGTTGACTCTTCTGCTAATGAAAAATTAGACTCAGGGAGTTGTCTTGTGGCGTTTCACAACATGAAGTCATTGGACAGCAGTGTTAGAACCAAGGTGGGGCCCTGATGCCAGGGCCCATGTTCCTTCCACCCACTGCGCCCTGCTGCTCCCCTCAACAGTTCTGATGCAGCACTGCGGAGGCACGAGCACACCGGTCGTGGAGACCATGAAGGCTGCGTGGGCTGATAGAGTAAGGAGTTTCTGTTCCCTGTGGAAAGTAGTTACTGAAGTTGCTGGTAGGCCTGCGAGTTTGGGTAGCCCATCTAGGAGAAGGAAGGAAGTTATAGGGCACTAATTGAGAAACTCTGTCCCCAGGTTCCTCTTCAGGCTTCCTTTAGTGAAACTGAAGTGTTTCTCCACTGAGCTTTGAAGGGGAAGGGAGCTTGGTAGTGGTTGTCCAGGTGCAGAGGGAGGTGGAGGGGACTCCCCACATTTCTGTTTAGCTTGGCCTTGTTTAGGGAGCATTTCTCCTGAGGGAGACACTTGGGCCTTTCTCTTCTGGCAGTGGTCAGCTTTAATCAGTTTTGAAGGACTGG